CCTCATCTCTCTTCTGTGGAGGAGCTGTTGATTTTGACCTGCTGACCTTGCAGTTGGCAGCCCAATGCATAATCCACTAATGCCACCAGTGCTCCTGATTATCTTTTAAAATTTATCTTGGTTGTGTAATGATGTCATCGTTTTGATTTTTCATTCAAAATTTGCATCATCTTCTTTTAGCTCGATAGTAATTTGTCGATTTTGTTAATCCTTGTAAAGAACCAACTTTTCGCCTTAGTGATTCTTTCTACTGCTTTTCTATTTTATGATCAATTTATTTTTTATGCTTTTTGCTCCATTTATTTTATTATTTCTTTTCATTTGGTTGGCTGAAAGCTGAATTGGATTCCTGTATATTAATGAAGTAAGCTCTGAAAAGGTAATCAGGAAACATAGTCCCCCAAAAGATGAAATACTTAGGAATAAGTCTACCCAGAGAAGCAAAAGACTTTTCTACCACTAAGACTATAAAACCAAAATGGAATACATTAGTGGAAGAATGGAGCATGTTCCTGGATAAGAAGACTTAACACTGACAATGTCAATACTACCTAAAGTGATCTAAAATATAATGCAATTATGATCTAAATTTCAGCATCATTCTTTGAAGAGATAGAAAAATTTAATCATCATCTTAATATGGAAAAGAAAGAGGCCTAGGATAACAAAAGAAGTATTGTTCTACTAAAGAAGAACAATAAAATAAGAGGCTTCTACTTTTCTGATTTCAAACGTGGTAATCAAAACAGACATGGTAATCAAAACAGCCTGATAGTGGTACAAGAAGAAATAGATGGGCTAATGAAACAGAATAGAGAACCCAGAGATAAATCTATCTACCTACAGACAACTAATTTTTGACAATGGACAGAAATACACTTAATTGGGAAGTTTCTTCATCAATTGTGCTGGCAAAAGTAGATTTCCATTTGCACAATAATGAATCAGCACCCATATTTCATTCCATACACAAAAATAAACTCAAGATGGATAAAGATTAAGTCTAAACCCTATAACTCTGAAAATAAATGAAAAAAATAAGGGAAAAACACCTGATACAAGGCATAAATACACTACCCAATATAATGAAAAATATGCACATAGCATAATACAGAATGAATGGCTGGGACCTCCTAAAAGAGAAGAGACATATACATGAAGAGATTTCACGAATAAGTAAGAAGAAAACCCACATAGTGGGAAACAATTTTTGGTAATGACATTTGGGAGAAGGAACTTATTTCTAAAATCTAAAAATTTCAACAAGAAAAAGTTAAATAATCCAACTTATAAAAGGGTAGAGGACATGAAAAAAACATAAATCAAGTAAGACATTCAGGTGGCCACCACATTTATGAAGAAAAACTTGTGATCACTAACCTTCCAAGAGATGCAAATCAAAACAACAATGAGACACTGCTTTGCTCCAGGATCGATTAGAAAGTTCAAAAAAGCAGAGAACAACAAATAATAGAAGGGGTATGGAGAAACTGGAACCTTCAGAAGCTTCTGCTGGGTGTGTAAAACAGTACAACTACTACAGAAAGTGGCATGGCACTTCCTCAGAGAATTGGTACTAGAAATACCACATAGTACAGCAATAGTGCTACTTGGCATATTCCCCACATAAACAGAGAATGCAGCATGAATATATATATATTTGGTTCATACCCACAGTGGGTAGTTAGAGAATATCAATGAAACTATGAAACACCTGATGACATGGATGGATTTGGAGGACCATATGCTGAGTGAAGTTAGCCACACAGGAATGCGAAGCTATTGAAAGAGACCACTGTGATTAAAAATAAAAACCAAGCAAAGATTTTCATACCAAAAAGAAAGATTTTTATAGTTACCAGGGGTGGGAGGAGACAGGAGGGGAGCAGAAGCAATAGGCTGGAGGGTAGACAGACATTAACTTGAGTAAAGGAAAGAAAATATACTCTATGAAGGAGATCGTAAAAAAGTGTGTGTGCGTGCCTGTGTGCGTGCGTGCGTGCGTGCGTGCGTGTGTGTGTGTGTGTGTGTGTGTGTGTGTGTGTGGTGGGGTGGGGAGGGGGGAGCAGGGGTGGAGAGGGAAGAGGGCCAATTATTGGGAGGCCTAGTAAGTTGTCTAAGTTGTTGAATGCAAAAACAATGATCTGATATATAAACCCCCATGCAATATCTTTATTAGTCATGTCAATAAAATGTCAATACAGGGAAAAAAAACACCCCCCCCAAAAAAAACCCCATGCAATTCACAATGAAAAGTTTTAAAACAAACAAAAGAATTAAGTGTAAAATGCTGATCACACAGGATACATACAATATTATTATTTCTGAACAAACTGCTAGAATACCAAACTATCAAACCTCTTTGGTTCCTATACACAGACCAGATCGTTATATAATTAAAAAGGCAGTGTTTAAACTGTCAATGATTTTCACCTTTTCCCTTTTGGTAGTATGTTGTAGTCAGAAAGTTAATCTTGTGTCAGGAAACTTAAATCCCTTCTGATGCTTTTGAAGTGGAAAGGCATACGGAAAGATAGAACAGCAGCAATTAACCCTGTCACATTTCTCAGCGTGGCTGGAATTTTTTTGTTATGTGTACATTCTGTTATGTCTGCAGTTCTTCCTTCAACATTAGCGTGGTCCCGCCAAGAAAATAGGTGCTCAATCGATGTTTGCTAAATGAATCAATTACTGGTATTTCAGGGAGCTCACTGGGCTATCCGGCTTTGATTCGGATTTTAGGCACCTGTAAAGGGTATCCTTGCTGCCCATTACCCCTGTATTTCCTGGGCCTGGGTACCACATTTTGAACTCTTTACAAATGCAAGAAAAGGGGTCTGATATGTCTTCCTATCTAAACGTCTTACTATAAAGATGAAGAAAACTAGGCACAGATGAGTTCAATAATTTGCTTGCTGGTCTTACGAAATAAGGTCTCCTGGTTTCTCCAATACTCTTGGCTACCACTCCAGCTGCCTGACTTAGAGCCATTTTCTGTCTCAGACTATCAAACAATATATGGATTGGCTAGTTAATGATAGCCAGATGAAAGCAGTTCACCAAAAAAGACAACTGTGCTGGATTTTGCATCTGTCAGTTACTATTTTGTCTTAGTTTCAGGTTCTACATCTTGAAATCTCGAATCATAGTCTTGGCTTTTGACTGGGACTCTTTCTATCTGGGCACTACAAACTTTCTTCCTTAGCCCACCTTAGGACTCTACTGTTTTTAACTGAACCTTTAGAAAATCGAAAAGTCAAGAAATTCACTTGGGAAATAGGTATGAGTAAGGAAGAACACACACACACACACACACACACACACACAAAACTGCTTGGTGACAGTAGCTTCCCACTCTAACCTTCTCAATGACACTCAATCTAGATGGTGCAAACTGTTTGCTTAGATGAAGGCAGCAGTCATCTCAGTAGACCCTTTCAAGGGTCACTGAACCAAACCTTAGAACTGGGAGTCTATGGCTGTGCAGATTAGCTCAGTGGAATTATGTGAGTTAATCTGCTTTATACTTTGAGAGAAAAATAAAATTTCCTTTCACATTAGACATTTCTGATAATGGCAGGTAGAAATTTAAAAAAACAAATAAACCAGCAAACAAAAAACTACTACAATACAGTTAAGCCAGAACAGATGGGAAATCAGCTTGGGAGCAGATGCAGAGGCTCCACGGCAGCTGCTTGCCAGAGCACACCACATTCACATGCTGTGAACAGTGATGAACTATTGGATACAAAACAGAACAGGAGCACAACCAGCACCAGATTCTTCAAGACTGAGAGAGTCATAGTAATGCTTTAAATTCACCCAGACCCCCAGAGCCTTCTGACTTTAATAGGTTTGAACATTTTAGTTTCGTAATCAACATTATGGGAATATTAAAGGAAATGAATATTAGTGGGTTAGTACCCACTATTTAGATCACCGATGATGTGCTGGGTACTCATGGTAGATTCTACTGTTGACAACGAGGTTCTGAGAGATTGGTCACTGTGACACGGCCACCCAATGCTAAGTGTTAGAGCTATATATCTAGGTTTGCTTGGTTTCAATATCATACTTTCCTCCACATTACTCTTCCTCTCAACAAGCTACGCTGGGCATGAGTATTCTTGGGGGCAAGGGAGAAAATATCTGGCTTTTCCAGGAATTAAAACAAGTTCCTTTGACTGACTGCTTTTTTTTACACCTAATTATATAGGCTCAGAAATAATGAAGTTGACTGCAATCAATGTCTTCTGAAGTGTTGTATGGCAGAAAAAGCTGTGATGTGATGGAGACTTCAACAACTCAAAATGAAATGCAGTCAACGCTGTTGCTACTGGGACACACGGTATCAGACACCTCGTTAAGAGCAATATTATGCATATTTTAGAACTGAAAAGACAAGCATATTTTTGTATGTCTGTGTATAACATAAGTAAGTATAACAAATGATTCATTAAGTGAATGAATTTACAGACAAAATCTCTTGGAAAGCCATTTAAAAGAACAATATTTTTAGATTTCAGGATGTTTACACCTTATTCTTAGATTCTTCAATTACATAAAAATGAACTAATTTAGATACACTAAAGAGAGTGAGAAAAATCTTTAATTCCTTTGTCTTCAGATAGAGGACTGAGGAGACATTCCAGAGCCTGCTATGAATACAAGCCTTCTGCCTTGAGACTTGACAACTAGAGAGGGAGCCAGAAGCAGCTCACTTGCTCTGTGAGAGATGCCTATTATAGACTTATAAAAATGAAGAGAGAGTTAGGTCAGGGGAGGAAAGTACTAAGACCTTTTATTTTCAACACTGCTGAAGGTAAACACAATAGTAAATTTTCCTTTAAAAACACCTATTTCCCATCCCAATATTTCGTGAAATATATTCCATGAAACTCCTTATCACACATTTTTTCTAGTTTATTTTACCTCTATACATAAAATCTAGGTAATTAATTGATTACACCAAATTCCATGAATATATTTGAAATGATTACCTTCCAAAAGAGAATGCTGCAGTGCCGACAAAAATGTAACGTGTCCCCATACTGTTCTTTCGTTGGGTAATATTTCTGAAGTGCAAAATACATCAGCTTCCATTCGATATGACCCTTTTCTGAAAGGATCAAATGTCTACAAAACTAGACAGAAACAAAGTTCTGTTCAGAATCAGCAGAAGATGATTTTCTAAGCATAGGATTAAGTGACAAATTAGTTTTCAATAAGGAGCACGAAACATTTAATTATTTGAAACTGAACAACTTACTTGTTTTAAGTCAATAAGAGATTAGTCAAATTGTGACACATCTGTACAGTAGATTAACAAGCAGCTATTTAAAAGCTTAAATATTCTTACGCGCATATACCAATTTATATTACTAAGTTAAAAATACATCACACAAATCATTTATCTGATAAGGGACGTCTATCAATGACATACAGCGAACTTAAAACTCAGTAATAATAACAATAATAATTTTAAAAACAGTTAAAAATTGGGCAAGGGATTTCATTAGAAATTTCTCCCAAAATGGTGCAAATGATCAATAAGCACATGCCTCGTTGTTAAAAAATTTAAACACAGATTTGCCATCTGACCCAGCAACTCCACTACAGAGACATGAAAACATATCCACACAAACATATGTCCACATAAATGGCCACAACAGTAGTCTTCAAGCAAAACAAATGTCAATTATATCATGAGCAGTATAAACAAAACATGGTATAGTCCATAAGGAAAAATTATTTGGCTATAAAAAGTAATGAAGTGCTGATACACGTTGCAACTGAATGGCTCTTTATAACATTAAGTGAAAGAAGTCAATCACAAAAGATCATATATTATGTAATTTCATTTATGTGAAATTTCCAGAATATATAAACCTATATAAACAAAAAGCTGAGTAGAGAATGAGTGGTGGGAGGAGTGATGGCTGTTTTTTATGCAGTGACGCAGCAGTATAAAATGGATTATGGTTCTGGTAATACAGCTCTGTGAATATACTGAAGAACCACGGAACCACCTGCTTTAATTGAATGAACTGTGTGGTCTATGAGTGATACCTGAATAAAATTATAGTCAAAAATAAGAAAGTGATTATTTCAATTTGAAAAAAAGAAGCAGGTATAAAGAGATACATTTTATAGGCATGCTATATCTGAAAGCTAGGGATGACATGCACTATTGACAGTCACTAGCCATGTGGGTGCTTTTTTTTAATCAGTTTTTTTCCCATTTAACATTGTACTTAATCTATGACTTTTTATTGTTGCAATGAGCCTATTTTACCTTTTACAACAGAAAAAAATAAGTTGGATAAAATATACATTATTCAATGATGACTTTGAGCATACTTTGTTTTGAAATTATTATTGTGTCAATGAGGAAATTGTTCCCAGTTAAACCTTGAAAAATAAAGGAACTACAGACTATTAATTTCTCTATCTTCCAGTAACTGTTAAAAATTAATTGCTGGAAACTAAAAAGACCATTTTGATCTTACTTCTCATGAATTCTGTTCTAGACTGACATTCATTCACATTCAGCTATAAGGAGAGTGTTCCAGTCTTCACATAACTTTTCCTAGTCAACTGTGATTTAAAAAAAATCAAATATAACATCAACAACAAGATGTTAATAGTACAGCCAAGAGTATTTAGTTAACTTTTCTTCCAATATAATTTTAGATTATTTGTATTGATCCAACTTTTATACTTGATTTAAAATTTCAGTTGAAGGGTGCACCCTAATCTATGCGGTTTTCATAGTTATTCTAATATGCTTGTTTCCCCACCCCCACCCCCGCCCACCCAAGGGTGTTACTGTTAGTTGCTGAGCCCTGAAGGAAAGGATTTTCATTTTTTTCTTAAATGCTTTGTTGTTAGAATTCAGTCAAGGTAGTATGTGTAATAAGATGCACCTGTAGGTGCTAATTGTTCATTGTAATTTACTAGTCTGGTATGACATTAAATATTGGTGCCGAACATTTAACTTCTCTACAGTGGTTCAGTTAATGAAATGTAATGAATTTACAAATTGCCAAGAGATATTTTTAGACTATCTTTAGAAAATAGGTTTATAAAAGAAACTGCTGGGCATTCTCAATATAGGTTTATAAAAGACATGCCTGGCAATTTCTTTTATAAACCTATATTCAGTTATATCCTGCATACAGTGATGGAGGTGAAAGGGTTATGAACAGGAGACAAAAAGCGAGCTATGGATTATCCCAATACGGACAGGAGTTCTACTGGCATTCCCTGGCCTCTGTTCAGGATCAGTGTCTAATGGGAGGGAAGTTCCAGGGTAAGTTATGTGAACAGAAATCAACTTTCTCTTCTCCATCCCAAATGGATTCATTCACCCTCTTGTCCTATTCACTGTTTGCTAGGCTTTGAATGCTCCTTCAAATAAATAAATAACCTATGCTGGGTTCTAGAAGTCAATCTAATTTCTTTCCCGCTCAAATTCATTTCTGAGTTTCTTTGCTCCTCCTTAACAAGGCCACCTAAACTAGTTTTTGCTAAGGCCAATAACCTTTATTAGACATTAAGTCTTCTGCTTAATTAATCTATCAGTAGCACCTGAAATTTCTCCATCTTTAAATGCTTTTCCTTGGCTTCTGTAGGATTTCCAAAGCCTGTTTTTTTCCTCCTAATTCTCTAATACCCTTTCACTTTAATCTTTTGTAGCTTCTGTTCCTTTAGGCCTCTAATGCTGGAGTTCTTCCAGGCTCTGCTAAAGCCCTCTTCTCATCTCCATCTGTTCTTTCTCCCGAGACAAGCAAATCCATGTCCTTGGCAACAAATCCCCCTTACGTGTTTATCAGTTTCAATGTCGATCTCCAACTTGAGTTTTTGTCAGACAATCCAACAGCCTACTTAAATTTTTCATTTGACTATTTATAAGGTATCACATTCAAGCATGTTTAAAACTATTAACTCATCATCTTACTCTCAAACCAGACCATCCCTTCTAGTGTTTCCTGTTATTGTTTTTAGGTGTTGTTGTTTCTGACTCATAGTGACCCGGTGTACAACAATGAAACATTGCCCAGTCCTGTGCTAACTTCACAATAATTGTTATTTGAACCCATTGTTGTAGCCACTGTTGTCAATCCATTTTCTTGACAGTCTTCTTTTTCACTCCCCTTCTACTTTACAAAGCATGAACACATGTTCAAAGTACACACTCACTTCAATGCACATCTTGGCCATACTGCTTCCATGAAAGATTTTATTTGTTCTGGCAATCCACTATACTTTCAATATTCTTTGTCAAGTGTACTACTTCTTCTGTAGTCTTCCTTATATTCAATGTCCAACTTTCACATGCATATGAGGCAAATGAAAATACCATGGCTTGAATCAGGCACACCTTAGTCTTCAAAGTGTTACACTTGCTCTTAAACACTTTGAAGAGGTCTTGTGAAGCAGATTTGTCCACTGCAGTAAATGGATTGATTGCTTGATTGCTGCTTCCATTAGCACTGACTGTGGATCCAAGCAAAATGAAAACTTCCACATCTTCAACCTTTTCTCTGTTTATATGTTGGTAACTGAGGATTCTGTTTTTCTTTGCAATGATTTGTAATCCAAACAGAAGGCTGCTGTCCTTGCTCTTCATTAGCACGTACTTCAAGTCCTCCTGGTTTTCAGCAAGCAAGGCTGTGTCACCTGCATATTGTAGGTGGTTAATAAGTCATCTTCCAATCCTGATGCCCCATTCTTCCTCATATCGTCCAGTTTCTCAGGTTATTTGCTCAGTTTGTAGACTGAGTAAGTATGGTATAAAGATACAACTGACACCCACCTTTTATGAGTTTAAATCCTGCAGTATCCTCTAGTTCTGTTCAAAGGACTGCCTCCTGTTCCATTATAGGTTCCATCAATGGAGTATTCTAAAGTTCTCATATTCTCACTGCTATCCATAATTTGTTATGATGCACAGAGTTGAATGCCTTTGAATGGTCAATAAAACACAAGTAAACATCTTTGTAGCATTCTTGAATGTCAAGTTCTCTTCTAAATCCAACTTGATTATAAGATACTTCTTGAAATGGTTAAATGTTAACCAGCAGTTCATTTTGCTTTGTATTCCATCTATATCTTTTGATGTTTCCTGCGTCATTCAGTATTTTGTCTATAGAATCTTTCAATATTGTACCTGATGCCTTAAGATTATTTTTTCTTCCACTCACCTGTAAAATGCTTACATAATTCTATACTTCCTATTTCTTATAATCCCTTCTAATAGTGATCTCTAGAAAGTAAAGACCACACTGCCTTGTTCATAACTATACCTCCTTTCCTTACCTTTCATTCAGCCTTAAGCAAAAAGTAGGCACTTACTAATTAGTACAATAAATGAAAATTATTTCTGCAGGGATTTATAAACAATTACAGTAAGATTTAAATTTGAATAATGAATAAACAAACTGCATGGGAGTAGACCCTTAGAGAGTGTGCGAGGGGGCTACTGCCCCCTCAAAAAAACCCAGGACCCCCCCCCAAAGCTATGTATTTAAATTGTTTTACCAAACAACCATATCACCTTTAAAGTGCTTTACAATACACTTAATACATTTGTCAAATCTGTGATTCTATTCTTGGAAACATTTTTCAAACCCCTCTGTTTGGATGGCTGATAGCACCTCCCTTGTTTTTATCATTACCTCTTCTACATTGTCAAATCATTGTCTTCTCATGTCCCTCTGCATTCATGGAAACAAAAAGAAGTCATACGGAGTGAGTTCAGGTGAGTAAGGTGTGTGGAACAAGAGAGGCATGGGTTTATTTTGCCAAAAACTCGTGCACGGAGATGGTTGTGTGAGGTGATGCATTGTTGTGGTGGCAAAACCAGTCCCGTCTGTCACAAAGCTGGCCTTTTTTGTCACACACTGCTATGCAATCTTTTCAGAAACTTTAAATAGAAAGCTTGATTAACAGTCTGACCTGGAACAATGAACACCAAATGCACTATGAGTTGACATCTTTGTCTGTTCAGGAAGTTGACAAATGTCTAGAAGAAGGTTTGTCATCAATCAAGATTTGACTTTTTTTGAAACAAGAAAATCACTTGTACACTTGAGTTTTTCCCATAGCACTGTCCTTGTAAGCTGTGTTCAAAATCATAACAGTTTCTGTGGCATTTTTCCCAAGCAGGTAACCAAATTTCACAGCCTCACACTATTCTCTTAAATCAGCCATCATAACAAACAGGTTCTAACAAAACTGCTTTTAGGAAAACATTCACTGTGACCAGAGAGAACCTTCCCAGGCGATGCCGCCATAGGGGGTACTAACTCAGAGTGAGTTTTTCGATACTTGCCTAGCAGGAAAAGTACATACTATGAAAGCTCCGCTCTGCCCAGTGCAATTCTGTTTTTTGGGGGGTACCGCCTCGTATATACACATATGCTTTGTGCTGGTCCCTATAACTGGTCCTTGAAAGCAGCAGGAAATCTACAAAGTTGTATTATTCTTTGTAAATTGAAGAATGGTGTGTTATCAAACTGATAATAGGAAACAAAGTTTCAAAGAGTGTGTATATGTTTTCAAGATAGCTTGCAATGATACATAGCTTGATAAAAGTCAGAACTAGGATTTGATTCATCAGATTATAGAAAAAGGAAAACAGTCCAGTGATCATGATATATAATTACTTTGAAAAGAAATAACAGAATATTTAAGCTTTTGTTGGTTGATTTGGAGCTATTTTTAGCCCATAGTTCTTCTTACATATGAAAAATAAACATTATAAGCAACTTTAATGAATTGTGATTAGTCTTTAAAATGTACCTGAAATAGCAGGTAAAGTGAGTGCATGGGACAGTATCCCAGGTGAGTATATTCCTGTACTTGGGGATTTGGAAAAGATATTTACTAAACTCATAGAATCTGCAGGAAAACATCCCTGCCATCATTTCTTACCTGCTTTTCAGCAAAATGATACTGGCAAAGTTTCTTCCACAACTGTCTGTCTTCACTGAGCATGTACAAAGTTGGAGTCACTTGACCTAGCGTGATGATGTCCCATCCATCTGAGAATCTGTATAATATGTTGTTCAGCATATGTAAAGGAAGATCACTAAGTGTAAGACCATTGTTCACTTGCTGAAAAGGAAATAATGATATTTCATTGAGAGTACAACAAATAGAAGCATTATTAATATAGAAATTCAATTTCTAGTTTAAATACCAAAAAACCAAACTCACTGCCATCAAATCAATTCTGACTCACTGTGACCTGATATGGCAGTGCAGAACTGCCCCCCGGGGGCTTACTAGACTGAGTAGAAAAGCTCATCTTTTTCCCTTACAGCAGCTGGTGGGTTTGAACTGCTGACCTGGTGGTTAACAGCCCAAAATATGTAGTGCTTGTATGTATGATCTCATCATTATCCTTGTGGCCACTGCAAAGTAGGCATAACAGAGGTTATTTCTATTTTACAATGAAAGAAATGAACATACAAGCAGATATAATGACTTTCCCTAAGCAACCAGACCAGAGAAAAGAGAAACCAGAAACAGAACGTAGATCTGTTTGATCCTCCTGCTGGATGGCTTCTCCTATGCCACACTGCCCCCGGGGGCTGCCAGACTGACCCAAGGGCCCTGCAAAAGCAGGTGACTATACTTTATCCTGGATTATAGAACAAAAGTTGTTAATTGCCAAGGGGGAGATGAGTAATTTATTTTTTCTGAAAAGGGGGTAGAAGGCCAAATAAGTTTGGAAATCTATAAACTACATGAACTCAATGTATTTTGTACCTTGGGGGAAAAATATTACATTTACATTCTTTAAAAATGCCTAGAACAGAGTAGGTTCTAAGACCATAGATTCACTAAATAAATGCATCTAATGCTTCACAAGCACAACAAGGATGGCATTTTATGTGGTTATATGGTCCAGTAGAAATAAGATGAAATTATGAGTTAGGAGACTTGAGCTTGGGTTGCACACCTTAGTCACTATTGGGATGGTCTTGTGCAGCATCTTCGCATTAATCGATCATAGTGATTGCAACTTACTAGGGAAGGTAGACTAAATTATCTTTAAAGTTTCTTCTAGTTTGTCATTTCCATGATTTCATCATAGTTAAAATAGCGGTTCTCAACCTGTGTGTCACAACCCCTTTGGGTGTCGAAGGATCCTTTCATAGGGGTTGCCCAATTCATAACAGTAACAAAATTACAGTTATGAAGTAGCAATGAACATAATTTTATGGTTGGGGAGGGCCACCACAACATGAGGAATTAAAGGGTATTAAAGGGTTGTGGCATTACGAAGGTTGAGAACCACTGGTTAAAAGCCATATCCTCCCTGACATAAGCCTGAGAGTGAATATGATGTATTTATCCCTCAGAAGGCTGATGAAAGTGATATATATATATGGAAAACCACATATTATTCTGGAGGAAAATTAAAATCTGGCTGTGCTGTATCAGGAAACAAAAGCCATCATACTTGTAATTTGGTTTGAGAGATAAACATTAGCTCCCTACGTGGAGGCAAAATTAATTCAAGAAATAACTCTCCTTTGAAGGCTGATCTAGAGCAGCCCTGGATCTAGTTTGGTTCAAATCCATTTTGAATTTTTCAGTCCTCAATGAAGTTGCCCAAAACTGCATGATTTAATTCTCATTATAAGAATGTCTTACTAGTAGACTGGAGTATTTAAGTGATTTAATAGAGAGTGGTGTTTGAAGAGATTACTTGATCCCAGCTCCGCTTCTAGTGACCAGACAATCCAGTTATTCACTTATTCTGAGGTAACAGCTATCTACACATCCATATGCTTCCCATGGGTTCAGTGTTCCTTTTGGGGGTGGGGGGCTCCTCAAATCATCTATATACTCTTTTAGCCATAAGGACAGTGAAATCTGTCTTGATTTTGTGTACTCTAGCTCAATATCACTGATATTCGTAAGATTTTCAGTGGCAAATTACTCAAACACGGACAGCCTATACCTTTCCCCCACTTTATTCTTAGTTTACAAGCTCAGCTGAAACCTGTCCACTGTGGGTGAATCTACTGTCTTTCAAATACTGGGTAGTAGAGCTTCCAGCATTATAGCCACATGAAAGCCACCAGAGTATGATAAACTAACAAAATAGTGGGGGCATTTCCTGTAACGATGAGCTCAAGTATAACAATTGTGATTCTGGTATAGGACTAGGCAGTGATTCGTTCCATTGTATATGGATATCTATGCTTAATGGACTCAAAGGCAGCTAACAATCACCACACTTCTAGCAGCACTGCATATAGTGATCATTTGTTGTGTATTTGGCTAGAATGAATTGATTTCTTGAGTTTAGTCCTAGAGACTATTTGTCCTCTATAAGTGCAGACCTAAAACATATACGAGGCAGTGGAAGGTGACCATATGTATCCATGGATTTCTTCTGGCCCCTACCATACTACCTGGTCCTCACCCCAGGAATGTTTGTATACAGTAGCTTTTTCCCTATGCCGCTTTCACACTTTCTTTAAGCTTACCTCAGTAGCCTCATGTTGTACAAAATACTAGTTTTTATCATGCCTACTCAGATATTATCTGAGACCTTCTAATACATGGCATGCATTTGGGTTACTTTAAAGTCTTCAGTTACATATCTGAATGCTCATCTTGAGTCCTCCCTAGTTGATATTATTCAAAACAGAAAGAAGTGGAAGGTAGTACCTCTCTATATGGCAAGTTTTTACTTATTTTTTTCTTTTTACTGAGTTTGGCATTTCTAACCCAATGCTCTGCTTCTAGTTTTGGTTTACATTAACATTCAGCAGTATGAGGGAGAGATTGCTTTACCTTACTGTGAATGTTCTTTGATACTAAAGGAAAGAGATTTTTACAGTATCAGATAATTATGCTCCATTATGTAGACACTCAGTTAAGTCAGGAAGAACCCTGGTGTTTCAGTGATTAAGTCACTCAGCTGCCCACCAGTGTGTTGGCAGTTCAATGCTGTCAGCAGGTCCACAGGGGACCCATGTGGCAATCTATTTCCATAAAGATTAGCAGCCTTGGAAACTTTGCAGGGTAGTTCTAGCCGGTCACATGGGTTCAATGGACTCTATGTCAGTGGGTTTGGCTTTATTTTTTATTTAGACTAAGTAAGTCAAATTGTCTGCTTCATATAATAAATCTTGGTCTTATAACCCGCTAGCTAATGGTGAGCTGCTGCCTGATGTTTATTCATAGTCAACTTAAGGGGATACCATCAGTCAGAGAGTAGGCAATCGCCAGAAGCTTTTATGGGTCATTGATAGTCAAAGTTCAAGACTATTTCCTGAAATTAAAATCAACTCAACATCATAGAATATAGTTGGAAGTTTTCCTCAATGATTTAACTTTCTTTTTCTTTTTTTTTCTCTTCTAAATTCTGATAGCCAGCAAAAACAAAAGGAACAAAAAAAATGTATGTCCCTCAAGAGTTCATATGAAGATAAAAGTTTTCATATTCATAAATGTGCTTCCACAGAGAAATGGAAGTCATTAATATCTGGATGGAATAGCTTAAACTATCTCAAAGCAAGAAAAAAAACAAGTGCTGACCGCTTTACACAGTTCAATTGATGTAGTTATGGTGAAGCTTCACAACAATAAATAGTATTTCGCTCGTCCGTGAAGTAATCTGAGCTAAAAATGCTGGGTCACTCCAGATATCTTGTCTAACAAAAAATTTTTTGTACTACTTTACTTTTGAATGGCAAGATATGGTTCAAATAAGAATATTGGCATTTCTACTATGTTTGCATTTATAGTCATAGTAGGACTGAAAATCTGGATCCTATCAGAACCAGATGTCAAATTACTGTCTAAGCATCTATAATTCCTTAGTACATCCCAGATTTTTTCCTACCACTTTATGCTGCATTAAGCTTTCTGATTTTAGCAGCACAATTTTTATGAACTCTTTTCTGGTGCTTAGAAATTTCTCCCATTAAGAAGAAGAATGAGTCACCTGTTCAGAATAAGGCTTTATTCTTATAATAGAGTTAAGACTATTAGATGGAGATAAAGTTACATGCATATTATCTTTTATGTGTATTTTCTAGCCATATGCTAGACAATAAAGATGAAATTGCTCGCTAAATCTTGAATAAAACATGCTTAGACTAGTCAATAGTGAGCATCCATTCATCTCTCTATTCATTCAGAGGATATATGCTGTGTGCCTCAGGCCCTGTGCTCAGTGCCACATGATGCTCTTGGGACTGTGGAGCACAGTCACTGAGACATCATTGCTGCCCTAAGAGTGATTCAGAGTCCCATAGTGGAAACAGATATAAATAAGTGTAAGGAAATGAAAAGGACATTGATAATCTCATTTTAGACATTAAAGGGCCATGAGAGCACTGGTTATCCTACATAGACTACAAAACTGTGTCCAAAATGTTAGATTTTTCATCAATTGTCAGCAAATTTTGTGACCCTGCTGGATGTCTTAACAGCATGCACCATGCACTTGGAGAAAGTGTAAGTGTAATTAGAAATCATCCTTTAGTATTTGTCCATCCTATTTGTTTTCCTGTGTGGATGTAGAACAAGTGGATGCACAGCAATGTGTATTTTCAAAGTGCTAAGAATGTATTTTCATAGTGGGAAAGGCTGAAATAGGTAAGCACTAAGATGAATGGCAACTGTTTTACCTCTGGGAAAGGAAAAAAATAAAAAAGAAATGGGTAGTGGGGGAACAGGGCACTAACCCACCCAAGGGGAGGATATTGTTTATATCTCCACAGGGAAAGAGGGACCACGCTTCAACCTGGTGCTCCAAGATGTGAATGCAACATGCCGGTGGAGTAGGGAACCAGTGGAGAGGTCTGAGGGGCCAGCCCCAATCCCAACTACATGGAAAGCTGCCCCTCCCCCCAGAGGAATTTATTTCAGAGGACAGCACTGAAGCTACAGCTCAGGGAGAGGGACGTGTCTGATCAGAGCACATGGGAGCAAATGAAGGGGGAGGGAGAGAGAGTGGAGCACATCCTGGCCCACCAAGCCTTAAGGACGATATTCCCACTCAGAGCAGCCAATCCACAGAGACCATATGGCCGGCCCCATTATGAGACATGACATCCCTCATTGAACCATAGTCCTACAGGGGACAAAACCGGAGACACAATGTGGGAATTTTGCCCGATCTAATCTCACCACACTGAGGCAAAACACTAAGGGCATACAACAGGCACCCCATCAGACTCCACCAGAAAACACTCCTAAAGACCAACAAACAGTCCGTGGACTAACTACAAGCTTTTCTTTGTTGTTGTTGTGTTGTTGTTTTTTGTTTTGTCATTGGCTTTTTGTTGCTGTTGTTTTGTTTTCTTTTATTGCTTGGTTTTGCTCTGTCTTGTTTTTGTGCATGTTATTTCTACAGGTCTGTTTAAATAAGATAGGCTGGATGAACAATCTGGAGGAGAAAACAACCGGACCGATAGTTCCAGGGGAGAGGAGGAAGTGCGGGGAAAGGAAGTGGTGTTAACAAACCCAGGGATAGGGGAACAACAAGTGATCCAAATAAGTGGTGAGGAGGGTGTAGGAGGCCCGATAGGGTGTGACCAAGGGTAATGTAATCAAGAGGAATTACTGAGACTCAAATGAAGGCAGAGCATGATAGTGGGACAAGAGGAAAGTAAAAGGAAGTAGAGGAAAGAGCTAGGAGACAAAGGGCATTATAGAGATCTAAATAAAGACATGTATATATGTTATTATAGTTACATATGAGGTTGGGGAAATAGATTTATGTGCATATATTTATAGTTTTAGTATTAAGATAGACATCGGGGCCTCCACTCAAGTACTTGCTCAATGCAAGAATACTTTGTTCTATTAAACTGGCATTCCATGATGCTCACCTTCCCAACATGATTGCTGAAGACAAAGCAGTTGCATAAGCAAATGTGGTGAAGAAAGCTGATGGAGCCTGGCTATCAAAAGATATAGTGTCCAAGGTTTTAAACTATTGAAGGTAAACAAGCGGCCATCTAGCTCAGAAGTAACAAAGCCCACATGGAAGAAGCACACCAGCCTGTGTGATCATGAGGTGATGAAGGGATAAGGTATCAAGCATCAAAGAACAAAAAAATCACATCATTGTGAATGAGGGGGAGTGTGGAGTGGGGACCCAAAGCCCATCTGTAGGCAAGTGGACATCCCCTTACAGAAGGGTGGCAGGGAGGAGATTAGCCAGTCAGGGTGCAGTGTAGCAATGATGAAACATACAACTTTCCTCTAGTTCCTAAATGCTTCCACCCCTCCCCACCCCCCACTACCATGATCCCAATTCTACTTTAGAAATCTGGCTAGACCAGAGGATGTACACTGGTACAGATAGGAACTGGACATACAGAGAATTCAGGACAGATGATTCCTTCAGGACCAGTGCTAAGAGTGGCAATACTGGGAGGGTGGGGTAGAGAGGGAGAAATGATTATAGGGATCTGCATATAACCTCCTCCTTGAGACAATGGAGGAGTGGGTGAGGGGAGATGTCGGACAGTGTAAGACATTACAAAATAATAATTTATAAATTATCAAGGGTTTGTGAGGGAGGGGGGAGCAGGAAAGGAGGGGGGAAAATGAGGAGCTGATGCCAGGGGCTTACGTGGAGAGCAAATGTATTGAGAATGATGAGGGCAACGAATGTACAAATGTGCTTTATACAACTGATGTATGTATGGATGGTGATAAGAGTTTTATAAGCCCCCAATAAAAGGATTTTTAAAAAAAGAGCTAAAAAGTTACCACCCCCACCAACAAAAAAAACCCCTAGAACTTTGTAGTTGTTATTATGCCTTGGCATAAATTATGCCTCAGCATTAATTTCATTTTGGTACTTTATTTTTTCCTACCTGATCAAAGTGCTAATATGGTAACACTTCTGGCTGAAGGAGTATGCTTTGATCATCATTATTGTGAAGATGTATGCCAGACCAAAAAAAAAAGGATTTTTTCAGGCATTTCCTTCTACTTCTATAGTCTGTTAGCCATTTTTAATATGGCCAATAATTTGAGTAACTTAAGGTAATTTATATTTTCTATCATTTCTCTGCTCCTCTACCAAGTTTGTTGTTGTTACATGCTATTGGGTTGTTTTCAACTCATTTTGACTCTACATAAAATACAATGAAACATTGCTTGCATTTGCATAATTCTCACAATTGTTAATATTGAGTTCACTGTTGTAGCCAATGTGTCAATCTATCTTATGAAGGGTCTTCCGTCAACTTTGAAAAGCATGATGTCCTTTTCCAGGAACTGGTTGCTCTCTCCTGATAACATGTCCAAAGTATGTCAGACAGTCTTGCTATCCTTACTTCTAGGGTGCATCTTGGTTGTACTTCCTCCAAGAGATTTGTTTGCTTTCTGGCAGTCTGTAGTGTTTTCAATATTCATCTCCAACAACATAATTCAAATGCATCAATTCTTCTTCAGTCTTCCTTATTCATTGTCCAGTTTCACATGAACATGAGGTGATTGCTTGGGTCAGCTGCATGTTTCAGTGCAGTCCTTATAGTGACTTCTTTGCTCTTTTACATTTATAAAGTTCTTGTGCAGCATCTTTTCCCGATGCAATATGCTATTCAATTTCTTGGCTGCTACTTCTGTTAGTGTTGATTATGGATCCAAGTAAAATGAAATTCCCGACAAACTTCAGTCTTTTCTCAGTATTTCATGATGATGTTGTCTATTGGTCCATTTGTGAGAATTTAATGTCTTCCTTACATGGAACTGCAATACACACTGAAGGCTGTATTCTTTGGCCTTCATCGGTAAGTGTTTGAAGTCGTCTTTGCTTTCAGCAAGGATGTGTCAACTGTATTATCACATCATCCAATCCTGATGTTGGATTCGTCTTCATGCAGTCCAGCTTCTTGGATTATTTGCTCAGCATAGAGACCAAATAAGCATGGTGAAATGACACAACCCTGATACATTCCTGATTTTAAACCATTCAGTAACACTTCCCTCCCCCTTACATACCCCATTCTGTTTGAATCACTGGTGCTTAAAGCAGAGAATATAAGAAAGATGTTTACTTCTGTTTTCTTGACTATGCAAGGACAATCATCTGTGTAGATCATAACAAACGACTCATAAAGTTCAGTGAAGAATGGAAATTCCAGAGCACTTAATACTGCTCATATGAAACTTGTACATAGACCAAAAGGCATACATTCCACCAAGTTAATGTAAACTAAAGAGAAGATATAAAAAGATGCTTTGGGAACTAAACATTTACACCTCTTTCTTTATTTTCCACAAGACAGCAATGTTGAAATATTATTACCTTCCTTTCTTCTTTGTCTTTCTTTTGTGATATATTCAGACTCAATCCTTGTGGTTTCTGTGTTATACTCATTCACCTGAGGGGCTGTTGTTAATGTATATTCCTTTCTTAATAATGCACAACAGTAAACAACAGTAAAGTACTGCTTCAAACTTCCCAATTAGGCTAGAAATGTTGTTTGTTGGTCTTTCTCAAACATTATCTTCTTTAGAGATCCCAAGGATTAAACTCCCACTCTTATCATCCTCATATTTTATTCTCTTCTCAGGGATTCAATAACACAGATATTATCAGTTCTATAAGTTAGCTAAATTAAGGATCAATGAGATGTAGCATTTGACCTAGACTACATTTCTATTCATTTCTGCCCAATCTTAGATGTTTTCAGTACATATTTTAGAGTCTCTGAATTACAACTGCCTTATATTTTTCTAAAATGTACATCATTGCTTCTCTAGCAAACATCTTGCAGATGTTCCAGGTTTTAAATGTCTTACATGCAAATTTTCATAACACAATACATTTATACACGAGAAATGAAGTGAATCAGGTAGAGTAGAGCCCAATTATAGAGATCTCTGAGTTACTGGTAATATCACTTCTATGATGATGTTCATATCAAATTTTCTTAGCTCACACTGAAACTGAATGTTTGATTATTGACAATTCAGTTATATTAAAATAGAGTATCACTACTTTATTCTTTGTAAAGCTGACAGTTACATGGCTAATAAATGATAAAAAGTTAAGGAATTCTATAGTCACTTTTGAAAACAATTCCTTCATATGGAAGAGTAATATATCTGTATCTGTACCCATATCTATATATTTCATTCACTATCTGCAGTTTATTCTTCTAAACAAAAGACAGTCTAAAATGCTTACTTTGATCAATAATCTTAGCATTTTTCTTACTGAAACCGGATGTCAGAATAAACAAAAGAACAAAAACAATTGAAATTAATTGTATCCGCGCCCCCCCATGTTCTCTGTTGTCAAAGAATGATAAAACAACACATACAGAAAAGACGAAAAACAAAAGGAGGTAAAACATAACAACTAAACTTGGAGAAGCAAGTAGTAGATAAATGGAGAATTTCCACATATAATCAAGGATAAGCTTACCCGAATAGCAGCTGAGGCCCCTAATTTTACCACAAAAACTGCATAAAAAATGTACTGAAAAACTTGGCTTATACACGAGTATATATGGTAACTTGCAATTATATATTAGCTTTATTTATTGAATGTTATCTTAGCAGCCCGAAACACTTTAATTTCCTTTAAAGGTAAATTAATTTACCATCTAATCACTCATCGGATCAGCTTCGTTTAATGATTACCATCTCCAATGTCTTTCTAAAAACAGCTATAAGCCATTAAAGTTCTTTTGGTTCCAATTCAAAAACAATTTAATACTTGCAACAGAGTTAAAAAAAATCTTTCAAAAAGCTCTATGAGTTTTTCACATATGCTAGTAGAGGCAATGGCTTTTGAATCACAAAAATTCATTATAATAATTTTCAAGTCACTAAATGTGTACCTTAGTCATCTGGAGATTCTGTAGCTGTTGTTGCCAGGTAAGGATCGTTTCTAATCGGCAAATCCAAATATTGATATTTCCCACCAGTACAGACTTTCCTACTCCTCTAATAAGAATACACAGTGTAGAACTTAGGTCTTGGAGAAGGTCTTTGATTAGGCGAGGATTTTGGTGGTCGTGGAGAACTAGAAAAAAGAAAAAAGGTACAGACCAAGTGTTGAAGCTAAACACCCCCTTTTACAATCATCTAATTTCACTGTTACTGAAAATTATTTTTGGAATATCCAAAGTATTATTAATTTTTAAAAAAACTATTTGCCTGATATTATTTATTCAGTTGGGTCAACAATTTTGACCTTAAAATGACCAGCTTGCAATTTATTTTGTACTTAACATAAAGAAAAGTAATATTAAAAATTTGACTATAGTCTTCAATTTAACATGCAAAAATTCTTTGTGAAATATGACAACTTTATTAATAACTACTAATTAATATAATTATATCTTATTAAATTATTGGTTTGTTTGATGCTTAAGTTAATTCAGAACTTTTGTAAGTATACAATACTGCCCTAAAACTAACTGACTGGGTAGCTATTATGAAGTAAAGTATCTTTTTCAAATTCAGGAATTAAATGACCTTTTAAAAATAGTACATACTTTCGTATGAAGATGCAATTAAAAAAAATTAAACTGCAGTAACATAGAACATTAAGAAATTGAGGACCAACTTCCAACTTGCATCCTTGTCTAATATTATCCTATTATTTGACATTATTGATTTTAAGAGCTTATGCTGGGGGGAGAACAAAATACACAAAAACTCTCATATTCTTTGGACAAACATATAATTAAAATTTATATTATTAAAAACATCAGTGGTTGTCTTACCTTTTTGAACTATTTTATCCAAAATGTTGAAATAATTCTTTTGTGCCACACCACTCAAAGAAGTTAATTGGGATTTTGCAATTAGCTGCAGTAGCTTAAAAGAAAATGGAAGAAAAACAGGTAAGCAATATATATATTTATACTAAATAAAGAAAAAGCTATAATGATATAAAACAAATAAGGTATAGAAGATATGCCAGAATTAGGCATTGTAAATTGTAGATTTGTCTGAGTTCAGGTATAGGAAAGACACCACTCTACCTACATTAAGCTGATAAATATTTAATACAAGAAAAGTGAGAGAATCTTATAATTTTGCAGCACTGCATCTAGTTAATAAAAGCTAATTTATATACTGGACCCAAGCTGCCAGGGTCTATGAAATGTAGTTAAAAACTTTCCAGTCTTCATAGTACATTACCCACACCAAATCAAACCCTTCCTATAGGATCATAGAACTCCTATAGGAAGGGTTTCTAGAGCTGTCAATCTTTCCAGGAGCGGATTACCTCATCTTTCCCTCACTCCGAGGCCAGTGGCTTTTGAAGTGGCCACTTTATGTTTAGCTGTTCAATGGTTACTTGACAGCACCACGAGAACTCCTCTTAAAGTATATAAAAAAGAGACCAAAATAGATGCTGAGAGCCAATCCCCTTACTTATTAACAAATATATTTAGAAGACTACACACCCAGGCTCCCTGTTGTTTACTGACCAGGTAATTAGAAAAGTAAAAGACTTCTACATTTTGTAATCTTAAAAGATTCTAAAAGAATAAAAACAAAAGTAAAATTCCTTCTTTAACTAAACTTTCATGAGTATATCAATTGTAGAATTTTAGAATACAACAATAAAAACACTATAACAGAATCAGTGAGACACACACAGTTGTGTGTGTGGGGGGGTGTGTGACTGAATACTTAGAAGGAGACACAGACACGTGTGTATGTGTGTGTGTGTGTGTGTGTGTCTCCTGGAACCCCAGGCTTTGGGGACAGATACTCCTGTCAAACCCGCACTTTGAGATGCTCCTTTTGGCACATTGAAGTGCTCTCCTTTCCTTTAATATTTTGCCTCATTTTATTTCTGTTTATAATTGTGTGGCATATGCCTTTCCCATTTATTTTATTTTTTCATTTTCAATCTTTCTCAATGACTGCATTTTATGTCAGTTAAGTTTTGCTTTTGATCCAACTTGAAGATCTTTTAATAATCGGTTTACATTTATTAATACAACACGTTTGACTTTAATTTTGTGCATTTAAGAAATGTTTTTGTAGATGTTTTAAGTTTTTCACAGGTACTCTCTTTGTAAAGCTTTCCTTAGACCACACTGTTACAGTGACCATTCCTTCTCTTGTAGGGATAAAATTTCCTAGATCACCTATTTTACCAAAGGATCCAGGAGGGGATGCTGTTTTGAATTTCTAAAGGCTCTTTCCATGTTCCCACAGAGAAAGGCTGTTACCCCTGTCCCCCCCAACATGGTTCATCTAGAAACGCCCCTTTGGCCTCTCATATAAAACGGGGTCCAAGAAATCTTTGGATCACAGCCTTTCCCCTATAATTCTATCACCGCAAGGAGTCGAGTTTACACAACGTTTGCCTTTCTTGTGAGTCCGCTTTACAACGTGTGTTAGTTGGTGTCTCCTATTATCTCACCTTGCTGAGTCCCTTTTGTCCACCTCTATGCTTCTGTTCACTTCTTGCTATACTACTGCTGGCCAATCTTAGCTGCTTTTGTTAAGTCTTACACATATTTTAGAGTCTGGGAATTATATTTGCCTCCCATTAGTCTGGAAACGAAGTATTTCATGTCCTCCTGTCAATTCTTCATGCTGCATGTATTAATTTCCAGAGAATGAGAGGAGAAAATGCTAACTCACAGTCGTGTTGACACTATTAATCCTAACACATTTATAAACAGGGCAATCATGTTCTGACAATAATGCTCTGAAGATTATAATTTTACAACTTCATATATATACATTGGCCAGAAAATCACATTCAATTATACCAAACATACCTGAGAAACTCACTGCTGTAATTACAATGCTGTTTCTGTATCTTGCCAAAAAATATTAACTAAATATTATTAAATTTCTTCTACACTTTGACCGTTATCAGAAAAGCACTATTTTATTTATTTATTTATTTATTTTTTTAGTTTTCTGTTTTTTTTCTTTTTTAACATTTTATTAGGGGCTCATACAACTGTTATCCCAATCCATACACACATCAATTGTGTAAAGCGCATTTGTACATCG